AAATTGTTTGACCCATGAAAAAGTTTTCTCGATTCTTTAAAATATTTCTGAACTTACCACAAACATTTATCGTCAGAGGAAATTATTTCTCGACCAATGAAAAAGTTTTCTCAATCGTCAAAAATATCTCTGGACCATCGAACATATATCTCGAAACACAAAGTTCTTTCTCGGCCGACAAAATTATTCTCGACTACTTTTGTCCAGTATGGCTTTCCATAAACATCGCCATAAAGACGAAACATCGATTCATATATTTCGTGCAAGCTCCTCTAAATAATGTCTTTCAGCAAAAATTAATGATAAGTAAAAATATTATATAATCATGGGTGTAGTACCGTATCGAAGAGTTAATTGGTAAGTAACAAAAAATTCTGCCGTCTGCACGGTCTGCACGGTCGCATGGTCTAACATGACATGATCCTATTGGGAGTTAGACATGAAAGCAGATGTCCAGTCTCTACAGCGATTAAAACTTAGCAGGAGGTATTTCAATTATCTTGCGGTAAGAAAGAAGAAAATATAAACCTGTATACGTTGTCGTTACTTGTAACACTTGTACTTAAGTGTAAACCTTCAAATTAATTTTAAAAAACGTTTGTATAATGAGCATTATCCGAGCATTTTAGTTACTTTTTTGGGGGAGACAGAGCATTTTAGTGGGAAAATTGGAGCATTAAGGTGGAGCATTTTAGTGGGGAAACAAAAGCATAATGTACAAAAGCCTAGCTGTTTTCCATTGAATTATCTTATTAAGTGTAATTCTAATTTACGCATGTTCGCAACGGGTTCTTTATAATTTTCATATTATCTGTCTTGTTTCTGTTTTGGCTGATCTTAGCCGCTAAAGTATGAAATTTTGGGTAGAAAGTCGCTTTGGAAAGAGCAAACAAACCGAAGTAGGCGGGACCTGTTACACGTAACTTAACATGATTCGCTAATGATCAAGTGAGAATGGTAGGTTGGAAAATATGGAATGGTTGAATGCGAACCGGAACTGGAACCGGAGTACTCTGAATTCCCGGAATGACCGAAAAATTATAAATTTATTCACAGAACACAGTTTTAGTAGTTTTGGAGATAACTTTGAAAGAGGCGTTACACTTAAAAAAATTACTTGCGCGCGGAGATTTATACTTTTAATGAAGTTCATGGACACGACATGGTCCAAAGTTTCTTAGCAATGGTAGACACGTCCAAGAAAACAAGCAGTGTTGGCGTGACAGTCTGGCAGTTTATCTATTGACAGGTAATGATTAAACGAGACCCCCCAAGCCTAATTAAGGTTACTTAAGTTCTAATTAGCTTCGCTCAAACGAACGTAGATTATTTTACCCTTTTTACAATTCTTTAGATACTGCTGTATGCAGAAACTAATTTACGCTCGACAATATGTTATAAACCTAAATACTTGGTTACATGTAACCTGCTTTCATGGCTTTCCTCAATATACATATCCTTGGCAGAATCAGATTTCCACCTGCCATGTATTTTAAGAAGTCTCTCTGGAATCGAGTTCCCACTATTACGTACCACAGATGTAATACCAACGGATCTTAAACTATGAAGACCATAATCATTAGGGTTGTAGCCCAACTGACTTAAGATATTCCTTGAGATATCCCTACAAGTAGTATAAGAAATATTTCCGCTTCTCAGGGTATAGGTAGAAATACTACGGTGAAAAACAAGGGGTCTAAATAAAGGGAGGGGACTACTCAAGTCAATACCAGA